ATGGGGCTGTCAGCTCCCCCACCGGCGAGGGGCTACCTTGAGGTACCTCCTCCCCAAAATCGATGAGGGTCACTTCGCCGCCCGCTGGCCCCTCGCTTGCCAGTCGGCCAGGTTGCCGCTCGCCCACCTTGGTGCCCGGTACCCGTGCTGATGGCTTGACCGGTCGCAGACCCTTCCCTGCACCCGGCTTCTTCAGGCAGAGTTTCCGGAGACCCCCCGGCAGACCCTCCTCCTCCTCACTGACTGGGTCGTAGCAGGGCTCTAGGACGGGAGGGAGAGGGATGGTGAGGGTCTTGGCACCCATCCCTGAGCTGCAAGGTGGGGGCACCTGCAACCCCGAGCCCCCAAATTCCCCCATAGCTTCAGCCACCTTTGCTCCCCCCCACTTGGGCACAGCGATGCACACCAGAGCAGGGGACAGGGTGTCAGGGGGCCACGGGGTGGGGAAGGGCAGGGTACTGGCCCAGACTGGTCACCCTGCTCCACACCTGTGTCCCCACCACAGATGCCATCACCCACAGGTGCACAGCGGTACCCGGGGGGACAGAGGGGGTGAAAGGATCTAAGAGAGAAAAGAAGGGGGGCACAAAGGAAAGAAAGCAGCACCCAAAAAAGCCCAACTTACTGGTGAGCAGGACGGTAGGCTGAGGCGGGCGCGGAGGCGGCTGCCCTGCAGAAGAGAGAGCCCAAGAGGAGGAGAGGCACGGGGTGAGTGCGCAGAGCAAGCTGGGGTGCTCGTTAGCGGGGTGCATGCTTCATCGTGGCTCCCGTCACCAGTGGAGCGTGGGAGGATGCCGGTGGGAAGCCCCCCCCCCGAGGGAAAACTGCAGGTTTAGGGGGGTTGCAGCACATGCATGGTGTCTGAGCTCCCTCCCCGTGGCAGCTCTGCCGAGATCCCCCGTACCGGAGATCCCAGATGTGGGAGGCTGGGATGGGACAAGGGACCCGGACGAAGGGCAGCGGGGCAGAGTCCAGCTGGGCAGAGCCACCGGCCGCCCACGCTGCTGCCAGTGGCACATAGCCAGGTGACAAGTCAGCCTGTCACCCCAGCTCCCCCCAGGTCTGCGAAAAGCAAGTGGCAGCAGAGAGATGGAAAGGAGAGGGTCCAGCCCATCACCCCGGCAGCAGGGCACGGGCACGAGGGCTCCGTGCAGCTGACAGGCAGAGGGAAGAGGAAAAGTCACTCACTTTTAGCCCTGCCTGGAAGCTGGGTGGGTCTGGCAGTGCTCGGGTCCACACCTAAAATGTCAGGAGGGTCCATGGGATTTCCCAGGTACAACCTGTGGGGAGAGAGGAGGAGAGTAGCCGGGGGTCAGCAGGGGCTGGGGGGGGGGGCCCCCTCGCTCCCACACCACGTCCCTCAGGACACCCCACAACCCCTCCACCACACACAATGCCCCGGTAAGTACTGTCCCCGCAAGCGCTGGGGCACAGCATGCCAGTGCGACGGCACAGAGCTCAGTGCCATCCCGGTGTCACCCACCCCTCTCCAGCTCCACGTGCACGATGTGCCATACCCAGGGGACTGCAAACAGGGTGCCATACCCAGAGTGATTGTGCAGGGTGCTGAGCCCAGGACCCGCTCCCAGCACCGGGGTGCCACGGTGCGATGCTGCGCCCAGGGCACGGCACCCCGGTACGGCACG